GACCTCTTCTCTCCCAGGAAATCTAGATGTGGTCTTCCTTTTCTCATAATGTTCCTGGCATCTATTGCTTCTTTCTTGAACTTAGCATCTCCCAAGTAGATATCTGTGATCAGATCCACCTGGCATCCACCCCACTTTAACAGCCTCTGATGTACTTTGAGGAATCACCTCTTCTTCACTCTGTATTCAGTGTGGTTGGATGCGGCTGACCTCACCACCCTGTTCCTCCATGAAAAGCTGATGGATGTCCCAGACCCACCAATATCATGTTATTGGTTCGAGGATGGACATTTGACCCAACTCAAGCCAGTGAGAACTGAGCTTAGGATTTTTGCTGGAATAGTCAGGAAAGAAACACTCTTCTTACTGGAGTTTCTAAACTGGGAGGGTGTAAACTCGCAGCTGCTAGGGGCCATCTGTACAGCCAAATGGGGAGAGCCTGGCTGAGGGTGAAGCCAAACACAAAGGGAGTCAGAGCCAAGAGACAAGGAGGGAGACAGCTCTTGAGATATTTAAGCTCTTGGATTCAGCCACACCTGAACACGGCTCACGCCAGGACTTTTCAGCCACATGAGCCAGCTAAAGTTGGGTTTCTGTCACCTGCAACAAGGTTCCTAAGCAGCACACCTACTAAGGGTCAGGTACCATGCCAGGCAGTGGGTTTTAACCACAGAGATGTGAGCCTGATCCCGGAAGACCTCATTTGCTCTTTATTTCTAAAAACAGCTATATTGAGATATAATTCACATGCCATAACATTCATTCTTTTAAAGTGTGTAGTTCCACGGGTTTCAGTATAGTCACAGAAATGTGCGGACATCAGGACGGATTACTTTCTATCTCGAGCTGAAAATGACGAACGTGCGCTTGTTGTGTTCTGCCCCATCCACCAGCTCCTCTCCTGAACCCAGGACTGGGTTTGCCCCTGCTTTCTGCAATACCAATAAATGCAGCAGGTGCTCAGTTAATGCCTACTAAGCTGTATCAGACCTCCTTGAAGAGCTTGGCCTCCATCCCACAGGGGTTTGGTCCACTCTAAAGCACAAAGAATGAGACAGCAGATATTTGGCAACCCCCTCAAGGAAAGGACATACCCACCAATCACTAGGTTTCCTAAGCTGGATCCCTGCGATGGGGTAGACTTTCTGAGAGGTGCACACCTGGAGCGTGCTCCTTTGGCTTCCTGAACTTTTCCCAAGTTTATTACAGAATAATTTAAAATAGTAACAAGTGGGAAGACATACAAATCCAACAATAGGGGAATGACTTAAAACTTACGGGACACCCATAGGATAGGATAGAATAGAATAGTAAACAGCCGCTAAAATTCATCTTTGCAAAGAGGATTTGAGGGCATGGAGACATAACCATGCTATAACATTAAGTGAATGAAACAAAACATAAAAGGATGCATAGAGATCTCAAGTACACCAAATAGTAAACACCAGCAACTGGAAGTGAATAATGCTAATTATTAGATGCAATTATCTTTGCGTAGGTGGATTATATGCAGTTTTCTCATGTTTCTCTACAATTTTTTTCCAAAATGAATATTACTTTAAATAAATCAGGAAAGCCAATAATATCTGTAACTCAGCCCTTGGTTATTATTTAATTTTATTAATATGACTACCAAAGAATGAGAAACAACCACAGGAAGAATATTTCTGAGCCCGTAAAACTTTTATTTAAAAAAGACACTGTCCCTCGGAGTCTTTTAAACAAGCATATAGGTAATCTAAACCACCATGTTTCTTTTTTAATCTTGACTGCCAAGAAGCTCAGAGCTAAAACTTAATTCACAAAAATGCAATAGTCATCTTAGCCCAGGTTCTGGGTTCAGTAACGCCCACTTATCTACGTGGCTTCTGCTGCTTCCTCTTATCTGTATTTTCCGTTGTCTTGCCTGTCTTTTCATATATTCACATGTTCCTTGGAATGCATGAAGAAGTACTTGCTGAAGTGACTGGAGGCACACCCAAGAAGAGAGGTCCTGCCTAGCAGATATTCTGCTGGGACGTTTCATTTTTACAAACACATGGCACTGAGTGGGGCTCTGAATCCTTTATTGCTATTCTAATCACAGCAGAGGGGCAACTGAATAACAGTGTGTGGGAGGCTCCTGTATGGAGACAGGCTGGTCCCAGTGATCAGATTAAGCCATGTCTTGCTAATCTCCGTCTCCGCGAGCTGTGTGGACAGCGGTCCATCCCGGCTGCCCGCATTTTCTGGCCATTGACTGAGAGTAAACGATAGCGAAGCTGCCACAACGCGCCCACCACGTCCATCCTGTGTTCACGTCCATAGACATCAAGCGACACTGCCAACAGTGCCTAGACAGTACATTCAATCCCTAAAGACATCCTATCTGAATCAAACAGGGTCCACACGCTCTAAGACGAGCCCCAAACACCCTTCAGGTTTTATTGCAATTACCCAGCCCGATCCTTTACTTTGGCTTTAGAAAGAAAGCCCCTCTACTCGATAAAGATGGGCCACTTGAAAAAATTAAGTATTCTATCACCTGGGTGTTCTCCCAACTTTGGCACCTCATGGCAGGAGATAACATATTTATCTGACTCTAAGCCAAGAATCTGTTTTTCTGGTGATAACTTCACTGACTTCATGAGATGAGGAAAAACAAATAAGCAAACTTAACATTTTAGTCGTGACCATTTTACCATATCTAAAGTCGCAATGTCTTGCTTGTGAATCTACCGCAGAGGAAAGGGGAAGCAGGAAAGGAAAGGAAGGCAAGAAACGCTTATTTAGTGCTTACAGCATGCCAGACAGAGGACTGGCCGCCGTCTGTCCACTCACGGCATCTTCCCTTCCAGCCGGTTATCTCCCTTAAGCGTCACAATACCATCCTGCGGAGTACATATAATAGTCCCAGTTTTTCAGAAGTGGAAATCTAGGCTTAGAGAGATTAAATCCCTTGCTCAAGGTCACCCACGGGGAAGATACAAGGTTTCTGACCAGACTGAGGTCAGAGCCACCCCAAAGCCGGTGCCCGGTACCCCTTCAAACGGCTAGAAACGCCTCTGCTCGCGTGAGGCTAAGATTACCCGCGGCCCTCCTTCCCTCGAGCTCAAGTGCCTTCTGACTGCCTCATCCTCTTGACTTTAGGCCCCCTCTCACTCAGAAAGTCATCAAGATACACTTGAAAAATGAAATATAAAAGCATCAACCCACATCCTGAAATTGAGCATCCTCCTCTTTGCTGCCGCTAACAAGCTAATATGAAATCTCTTTCAGGGAAGCTTTCTGAATGGAATAAATTGGTGAAAACATTATGCAGCTGACAATATTTGGTGATGATGCAAACAGGGCTGCCCTGTCCACAAATGGTTTTGTCTCCAAAGAACCTGCTCTCCTGTGTCCTTTTCAAAAAAAAAAGATGGAGCAACAGAGAAACAGTACCCAGAAGACATGGCTCGGTATAATTGCACTGCCCTCTCTGTTTATGTGTGTCGGACAAGTACCCCCAGAGAACTTGAAATGTTCTGGAGAAGACAGGAATGTCATTCAGAGATGATTCCACAGGGGCTGGCTCTGCACAGCTCCCCGGCTTACATCCTCCCAGGGCAAAGGAAGCCTCTCCGCTGGCACCTCCGTGCCCCGCCACCCACTGCCATCCATTCCTTCACCTTTTATTTACATCGCAGAGAAGCCCGGTTCATCAGTGAAGGGGGGAGGCGGGAAATAAGACGCAATCCAGATTTCTGCTTTTTCCGGGGACTCAAAAGCGGAGGGGGGGGGGTCACACAGGGAAGGAAGTGGAGCCTAGGGTGCCCGATCAGCGCGGCACGGAGACCCTCCGCTCCCCTCCTGCACCAGGACTCCAGCAGAAGTGCCCAGGGAGCCCCAGGAAGCCGGGTCGATCAAGCCTGTGGCCTTGGCCGGGCTTGGCGCGGTGGAAGAGGCGCCAACCGAGCGTCCTGCACAGGAAACCACTGCCCCCTTCAGGCCGCGTCTCAGCCGCCGTGGCCGGAGCGGAGGGGCTCCCTCAGCCTGGAAAAACTCGCAAACCCGACCTCACGCGGCCAGCGACCGCCCCTCTGAGCCCCCTCGGCGCACCCTGGTTCTCGGGCGGGCGGAGATGTGCGCTGCTGCTACAGCTGGAACGCAAGCTGAGGGTGTAAGGAGGGGGCTTAGGACGGAAACCTCTGGGCTCTTCTGCTCCCCTCAGAGAAAGAGGCCGGGAAGGCAAGCCGACTGCTTGCGCTCCAAGTCCGCGCTTCAAGTCTGCGCCCCGGGAAACTCGCCGGCAGCCGCCCGGCCACCAGCAGCGGCCCGGCCGCACACCCTCGCGCGTCCGGGGCGAGACCTGCTCGGGCCACTCTGAGCAACTAACCGGAAGGGGTCTCAAGAAGCCGCTCGGCCACAGGCAGCGCCAGGCACCTGCAGGCAGCAAGCAGCGCCGCAGAGCCGGCGGCCCCACACCGGCCGGCCCGGTGCGGGTTCCGAGCTGCTGGCGCGCACCAGGCGCCCAGCCCTGATGCGCGCTCCGCCCCTGGGTCCCCGAGTCCTCCGGACCTCAAAAGCTCAGTTAGGCTTTTCTGAGGCCCGCGAGCAGGCCCGTGGCCTCTCCAGCCCCTGATGGCCCAGTTTATAGTCGATGCGCCTGTTCTTCCCACCGAGCACTCCACAGCCCACCAGCGGGACTTGGGCAGGGGTGACCACTGCAGGCCTTTCACGAGGTTCAGTTACCACCTTCTCCACTCTCTCTGGGCAAAGGAGACCCTAGTTCTCCATCCCACATCCCACAAGCATACACACATACACAATCCCAGAGGGGAAAGATGCTCAGCAAATCTGGGCACCAGCTTTGCGAGCCGAGCCCGGCGGGACCCGGAGGGTAAGCGCTGAGCCCCAGCCTGAGGTGCCCTCGGCAGGCTCGGCGAGGGCTCTGCCCAAGGGCCGAAGCTTGCGTCTGCCCAACACGCCCTGCCCCACTGCCCCCGCAGCCCCGACGGCGCGGGCGGCCGGACGCTCACCTCGGTGTCGTAGAGTCGCAGGTCGAGGAAGTAGGGGCGCAGGAGCGACTCGTTGCGGATCTGCTCGATGGCCAGCTCCACCGCGGGGAGCACGCCGCGCCCGATACTGCCCTTGGCCACCTCCTTGGTGAGCGGCATGAGGCCCATGATGGAGAGCGGCGGGCTGCTGGGCGGCGGCCGGTCGGGGGAGGGGAGGCGCTGGCGCTGCGGCGGCCGCGGGGAAGGCCGCCTTCCCAGCACACGCACACCCGCGCCCCCGGCCCTCCGCCGCGCGGGCTGCCCCGCGACCGCCTGGACCTGAGCTCCGGGGGACAGCGGCTGCAGGAACGAGGTCGGCGTGCTGGCACACGCAGCGGCCACGGTCGCCTCGCCGAGCGCTTCCTGCAGCACCTGCGCGGCGGTGTGGGACTGCCTCTCGGAGGTCCGGCTGGGAAGGTCCGTCTGCGAGCGCGCCACGGAGGCGTCCTAGAGCCACCTGCAGCCTGCACTCCCCTGCTCTACTGTGGAATCTGGGGGGCCATGACTGAGCCCCAAGCGGCGGCTAAAGATGCCGCCGGCCGTGGAACGCCCTTTGGTGCTGAGGTTTCTGGCCTTTAAGGTGCGGCTGAAAGCCCCCTTCTTCCCCCTAGCCTGAGTTTTCCGTTGCCAACCTCAGGAGCCTGGAGCCTTCACCTTGCGTGTGCTATCGCCCCCTCCAGGCGTTTGACCTCCCCGGTGTCCCCGTTCCCAAAGGGGGCTCCGCCCTAGAATTCGCCCACCCTTGCCTCTCCAGGTCGCAGTACTATCCTCAGGCCACAGTAGATCCAGGCTCCCCTTGACTTGGCCCTCTGTCTGACAGGTCGGGCCAGCTGCACTGGCTCACCTTAATTAGCAGTCCTGCAATCTGACCTGGACCCTGGGCCCGTGTACCTCTCTGAGCCTGAACAGTAGGAATCATGGTCATTAACATATAAAATCCCAAGAGGGGCTCAATAAGGGGGACACAGTAGGCCATCATTTCAGAAAACCTTGAACCAACCATTTGCGGGCAATGGCAATAGGACGACCTTGTAACAAGGTTGAGAATTTAACCTTCACTGAGCACTTGCTACATTTATGAAACCCTCACAATAGCCCTGGGAGCCAAGAACTTGTATATCATCCTCACTTTACAGACCAGTACATTGAAAGGTTTCATAGCGTGTTGAAGTACAAAGAACTATTGACAGAGCACTGGAACCCAGAGCCAGCAGCAGCTCTGGACACAGTGCGGGGGAGGTCAGGACCAGAAGCATGTCCCCTGTGGGAAGGGAACTGCCCGGACTGGGCTGTTTGGGACCTTGCTTCCCTTGGGCATGTGGTGAAGGAGCTGGACCACATGCTGTCCACGGACTTGATCTGGAGTGAGGCAGGGGCAGCCCTGAATCACAGGCTGGTTATTACCAGGAATCATGAAGATGGGGAGGAGAGGCTGAGCCCAACTCCTGGAGAGTAACTTGGACAGCTCTGGGGAAACCGGGCCAAATTCTTCCTATCCAACTCCTCTTTCTAGGCTTCTGCAGACACCACCTCCCAAGCTCCACTTAGCCTTTCCAAGCTGGAGGGTTTGAAAGGGGCAGAGCTCACTTGGGCATCTCCACCAAAAAAGGTGGTCCAGAGGACAGTGTAATCCTCAAGATAGCTCTGATGTGATCTTGACATCACAGATATCCCCTAGTCATAGGCTTCCAGCAGCTACCGTTCCTCAACTTCTAAGCTCAGGTTTCTGAATGAGCATTTTCATTTTTTCCCTTAGTCATTTATGTTTTCCTTGTAAGCCATGCCAATATGGAGTATCTGCTGACACCTACATCTGGGAATAAGTTGAAAGCTGGAACAACTTTGCTTGACATTTACTAAGTGATTGAAGGCCCTGCCTGGCAACTACCTTTCCGCCTCTCAGTCTCCATTTATGAGGTGACCTGACCTCTAGATACAAGGGATCAGCCCTGACCCAAGGAACTCCAGTCTTACTCTCCATCAGTTGGGCTCCAGGCCAAACTGATCTCATACCCCACTTCTGATGTCAGGGCATCTCTCTGGTTCCCAGATCCTACTCTGGTCTGTGTTCAAGTATGGGTAACTGGATCACAGGCATGCTTCCTTGGGTCTGAGTTCCAACCTTGGTCACCAGTTTCAACTCCATGTTCTTCTAGAGCTGGAGTTCAGCCCTGTTGCTTTATAATAATCATTCATTCCTTCAGTCAATGTTTTGTAGTGTCTACTATGTGCTGGGCAGTGTCCTAGAAGCTGAGGATACGGAAATAAACAAGCAGACTAAAATCTCTGCCCTTGAACAGATTCACACACATAGAGAATGGACTTGTGGACACAGCGGGGGGAGAAAGTGGAATGAACTGATAGAGTAGGGCTGACATATACACACTGTTGTTGCTTTTGTTGTTTACTCACTAAGTCGTGTCTGACTCTTTGCAACCCCGTGGACTGTAGCCCACCAGGCTTCTCTGTCCATAGGGCTTTCTAGGCAACATCATTGGATTTCATTGCCACGTCCTCCTCCAGGGGATATTCCCAACCCGGGGACTGCATTTGCATCTCCTGCATCTTCTGCATTGGTAGTCGGGTTCTTTCCTGCTGAGCCTCTGGAGAATGGGCACACGAACCCCGCCACGCATAAACAGATAGTTGGTGGGGAGCTGCTGTATAACACAGGGGGCTCAGCTGGGGGCTCCGTGGTGTCTCGAGGGGCGGGACGGGGGTGGGAGGGAGGCTCAGGAGGGAGTGGGCTTATGTATGTTTATAGTTGGCTCACTGTTGCAGAGCAGAAGCTAACAACACTGTAAAGCAATTATTCTCCAGGAGAAATAAAATAAAACCCCTGCCTTCATAAAACTGACATTCTAGTGGAGAAAGAGAGACAATAAACAGAAAGAAGAAGGTATTTTAGTATGCCAGTTTATGAAAAGTTCTATGGAGAACAACAAATCGAGAAAGAGGATTGAGACTGACAGGGTGGGCCTGCAGTTAGAAATAGGGAGGTCACGGAAGGACACATTGAGATGACCTTTCAGCAGAGACGTAGAGGAGGTGAGTAAGACAGACGTGCAAACAGTGTTCCAGGTGGAGGAACAGCAAGGGCAGAGGCTCCGAGACAGAAGTGTGCCTGGCACGTTCAAGGAGCTGTCAGGAAGCCAGTGGAGCTGCAGCGGAGTAAGCAAGGGAAGAGCAGTAGTTCCCAAGGTCAAAGGCAAACGCGATCCGGCAGCACCTGGGCACTGTGAGAACTCTGGTCTGCACATGATGACGTGGGGGGCAACCCGGAGGAACTGGCGCATCAGCAGTGTGATCTGATCTGCCAAGTGAAGGGTCGCTGGCAGGGGCACGAGAGGAGGCGGGGACCAGTGAGCAGGCTATTGCGATAAGCCACATACGGTAGCAAGAACCAGGCTACAAGCAGAGGAGCTGGTGAGAAGTGGCAGGTTAATAATCTCCATATTGTGAATGGAATAAAATGCATTGTCAGATGCCAAGTCCCAGGACTGTGGTGAAGAACTGACAAGAACACAGCAGAGACTTTAGAAAGCAATGTGCTCAGGGTCACACCCTTAGAAAGCGATAAAGCACAAATGTCAGTCCAGGTCTGTATGGCTTAAATACTCATTTTCCTCCCCAAATCCTGCCTCCTTAAGCAACCCTTTCTCCCACGCCCTCTGCCTATACGCATAAACCAGAAGCTAGTCTCCAAACTCGAGCTTCGAGGTTAGGGCTGTGTTGAAAGAGGATACCTGTCCCCTTTCTGGGGATGTGAGAGGACCATGCATAGTCCACTGGCTGCCTGGCGGCAGGACGCCGGATCCCTCTGAGCAGGACCCTGACAATGGGAGGCTCACCAGGCCTCCCCCGCTGTCTGTCCTCCTTCCACACTGGGCTGGACAGCTCTGGTGCCCGTTGCTCACTTCTCCATTCCCACGGCCACCTTCTCCTGAGAAGTGGGTCTAGTTTCTAACACCCTGTTCTCAGCCCGTCCTGTCAGCCATGCCTGCCTCTGTTCGAACTCCCAACAACAGGGAAGTCTTCTTTTAAGCTTTCTTTAAAAAAAAAAATCTTTGTAAATATTTCCCATGTATATTTCTTACTCATGTTTACTTTACATTGAAATGTTTCTTTCAGTCAAGTAGCTCAGCTGTTTTTAAGTACATCGTTTGTTTTCATTTCCATTTTTTAATGGATAAGTTATGAATGATGGATCCAAAAAAATATTAGCTGAATGAATCTAAGTTGCTTTTCTTTTTTCACAAGGCATGTTTTTTAAACCATAAAATTGGGTTTCAGGCATCAGATGTGGTCTGGTGACACAGTTCGAGTAATAATAATAGCTACCATTTATTAAACGCCTACCTATTCTGTGCCAGACACCTTGGTATGCATCATCTTAATCTTCATGACTGCCTGAAAAATAGGTGTTAGGATCCCAGTTTTGCAAATTATGAGACTGTGGTCCAGATGGATTAAATGACGTGCCTAATGATACTCTGCAAGAGACCTGGGTTCGATCCCTGGGTCAGGAAGATCCCCTGGAGAAGGAAACGGCAACCCCCTCCAGTATTCTTGCCTGGAAAATCCCATGGACAGAGGAGCCTGGTTGGCTATAGTCCATGGGGTTGCAAAGAGTCAGACACGACTGAGCGACTTCATTTTCAATGATACTCAGCAGAAGCAGCAACAGTGCCCAGACCCAATCTGTCTGACCCCAGACTCTCCCCCACATTTGCCTCTCCTCCACATGCCTCTCCTTGGAGATGCCCTTATAGGACTTATAGGAGGAAAGAGTCTTTCAAAAGTAAAGAATGCTACTGATGGTCAACATAAGAAAGAGGTAAGATGATTTGGCCAGGGTCCCCCGCTGGAGGAGAGATGAAGCTGGTTCTCCTTTATCAGGGGAGAGCGTCTGGCCTGGAGACAGTCTGGCTAAACCTTTCGGGAGTCAGTTCCAAGCCGGGGGTGGGGACTGGGGAGGGACTAGGGAGAACCAGCAGGGCCTGCTCTTCGTACAGTCCAAGGACAGGAGGAGGATGGGGCTGTCACCATGCTCCATGCGGCCGGACAGGTCCTAAGCGTGGGTAGGCAGGAAATTTAGCTCATGACTGAGAGGTCTCCAGAAGGACACCTCTTCCCATTTAGAGTTTTAAAGACAATAAGAT